TCGTCCTGGTCGTTGTCGTCGGTGTCGTCGTAGTCGGTCTTAAGAGGTTTGGCGAACCAAGTTGCGGGTGGGTGGGTGGGGCGTTTGCGCGAGCAGTGGATATGGCGACTTCAACTTCAGCAAAGTGGGTTTTCCTTTCTAAAAGATTAATAGATTGTACCCCCCTCCCCCCCCTGGACTTATCGGTTCCCCCTGGGATAGTATGATTTCATATATATATATATATTGTGCACACTCGTCCATCCTAAATATGAAACCATACCATCCCAGCCAAACGGGGTCCCCCCCCTTTGCGGTTCCTTTGGGGAAAAACTATGCGGTGACATGCTTTGTTCTAACATAGCACTTTCTCAGGAATCCCTTGCAAAAAGGTGGGACGAAGTGCGCACGCGCGCGTCGTTTCGCGCGCATGCCGCAATCCTTCAAAAACCTTCGGTGCCGGAAGGATTTCGCAATCGAGCTTCCAACAAACATGCAAAAAAACACATGGTTTCGCAACACTGATTTGCTAAGGTTCACGCGCGAGCTCTTGCGAAATCTGATGGAAAAAACCATAGGTTTTTTTTTTCTCCAGATTCTTTCAACATGCTACCAAACGGGCGTCGCGCGCGCATGTCGAAATCTGTCGGACGCCCTTGCGCGTGTGCCGTCGCGAGAATCCTCTGCAACAGATGGGACGAAGTGCAGACGCGCGCGTCGTCGCGGGCGCATGCCGAAATCCTTCAAAGCCCATCGGTTTCGGAAGGATTTCAAAATCGTGCGTCCAAAAAACATACAAAAACACAAGGTTTCGCAACACGGATTTTCAACAAAAGCGTGCGCGCGCGCTCTTGCGGCGTCGTCGTCGTCGTCGCCGTCCTCCCTCTCCCGCGTCGTCGTCGTCGTCGTCGCCTACGTCGTCCTCTGTCTTTCCTCGTGTTCGTCGTCGTCGTCGTCCTCTTTGGCGTCGTGGTCGTTTCCGTCGTCGTTGTCGCCGTGGTCGTCCTTCCTCCTTCCTCCTCCTCCTCCCCCGTGGTCGTCCGTCGTCGGCGACTCGTCGTCGTCCCTTCTATTTCGTCGCCGTCGTCGTCGTCGTTGTCGTCGTCGTCGTTTTCTCTCCTCCCTCGTCGTTGTCGTCGTCGGCGTCGCCGTCCTTCCTCCTTCTTCGTCGTTCGCGTCGTCGCCGTCCTCCCTCCTCCCTCGTCGTTGTCGTCGTTGTCGCCGTCGTCGTCGTCCTCCCTCCTCCGTCGTCGTCGTCTGCGTTGGCGATGTCGTCGTCGTCTTCGTCGTCGTCGTCGTCGCCGGCGTCAGCGTCGTCGTCGTCCTCGTCGTCGACGTCGGCGTCGTCTTGGTCGCCGCCGTCGTCGTCGTCGTCGGCGTTGTTGACGTCGTCGTCGTGGTCGTCGGTGTCGTCGTCGGCGTCGTCATCGTCGTCGTCGTTGTCATCGTCGTCGTCGTCGTCGGCGGCGTCGGCGGCGTTGTCGTCGTCGTCGGTGTCGTCGTCGTCGTCGTCGTTGTCGGCGTCGTCGAAGTCGTTGGAGACGTCGTCGGTGTCGTCGTACTCGTTGTCGGCGTCGTCGTCGTCGTTGTCGCTGTCGTCGTCGGCGACGCTGTCGTTGCCAAGTGCCATTTGGTACCCACCGTCACGGTTTTAAGAGATTTTGCAAACCAAGTTGCGGGTGGGTGGGTGGGATGTTTGCGCGAACAGTGGAGTGGACAATTCACTGCGAACAGAAATTCACTGCACACCATAGATGGTGCCACATAGACTGCCCGACTGCCCCCCCTGCTGTGTGTTCGGGCTTCCTGGCCGCAGGTGGGAAGACCAGCGCAATGCGCAAAGCCTGCCGTGCGAACTTGCGAGACCTACACCCTAAGTGCAACTACCAGCTGCACCAGATCCACCAGATGCACCAGAGCATATCTGATATTGTGTATACTGGTTATCATTGCCCACGGACGTGCAGGCTTTGCGCATTGCGAGGGTCTTTGCGCTTGCGACCCCACATAGACACGTCGTCGTCGGTCGGTCGGTCGGTCAGTCGGTCGTCGTCGTCGTAGTCGTTGTCGTCGGTTGCCGTCGGCTTGGGCCAGGCGGGGGGCGGCGACAACGCCGACGACGTTTGAATTCAGTTTTTGGAATTGTATGTCGACTTCCCCGCGCGCGCCCGCGCGCGTCACCCGAAATCCGCCCGGTCACCGTTAAGGGTGCACTTTAGTTTCCAAGCCAACGTAGCGACCTTTCAATGGTGAAAACCAGAGAGATCGTCTGCTTCTCTGTAGGGAACCTATGGATTCAATGTATTGCCCCCGCTCGGGAATGTATGCGTTCCCTTCGGGAACCGATGGGTTCACCAGCGGGATCCATGGGTTCCCTCTCGGGAATGCGTGGGCTCCCTTCGGGTCTTCGGGAATATATGGGTTCCCTTGCGGGAATCTATGAGTTCCCATGCGGGAATATATGGCTTCCCCTGCAGGAATCGATGGATCCATCTTGGAATATACGGGTTCCCTTGCGGGAATCGATGGGTTCCCCCGCGGGAATCCATGGGTTCCCGTCGGGAATGCATGGGTTCTGTTTCGGGAATATATGGCCACCCTTGCAGGAATCGATGGGTTCCCTTTGGGAATCGATGGGTTCCGCTGCGGGAATCTACGGTGTCTCATGGCATGTCCAACATGTTTGCGTTCGATTAACCCGAAAAGCCACCATGACACCACGAGCCATGAGCCATGAGAGTTGGGAAGTCACCATGACATCGTGACCCATGGCGTGACAGTGCGCCGGACTCATGACCTCATGGGGGAGTTTTTGTTTTCGCACAATAGAAAAATCTAGATGCAATTCCAAATGCTGAATCCACAATTTCTGCGACCCACTAAGGAGGCCGACGGGTGCGCCGACCTTTCTATTGTGGACAATACAAAACTCCCCGCGCGCGCGGGGGTGACCCGCGCGCGCGGGTCTCCCGAAATCCTGTCGGTCTGTCGGTCACCGTGAAGGGTTTACTTAAGTTCCCAGGCCAACATGTCGACTTTTCTATTGTGGATAATACAGAACACACGCGCGCGCACGCACACGCGCACACACACACACACACCCCTACGCACACGCACACACACACACACGCAGGCACGCACGCACACACAGACAGACACAGACAAAGACACAAACACAAACACATATTAGACACAGACACAGTCGACGCAGTCGGCACAAACACAGGCACACACACAGACACACACACACACACACATGCACGCACGCACGCACTTTTGATTCCGAATCCATCGAGCGAGCAGGCTGAAGAATAGCAGAGCCGCCGCTAGCACTGATGGGAGCGAGCTGCAGGCCTGCCAGCCGCCTCTCCCCCCTTGCCCAAAATGTTACAGAACGCCATTTCCTCGAACGCCGCGCGCTCGAGGAAATGGCGCACGCCTCGATTGGAAACAACCGCCCTCGCCCCGCCGACCTCCACATGCATCCGCGTCTTCCCCCCGGATCATCACATTTGTTCCTCATGGAATTTCCTCATCGTTTTCTTACGGACAATCAGCACGTGCAGCTGGCTGCTGTGAATGTAGACGGCCCGCCCACGTTGCGCCGAGTGCGGTTCTTTTCGCCCCCCTTTTAACGCCGCGAGGCAGAATGGGACTGGGTGCTGGGGCGCGCGCCTCCGCGCGGGACAACCATATCGCAACTGATTGGAGGAAATGGCGACCCACCCCCTTCCATCCTTCCACCTCCTCCCCCGCCTCGGAAAAAGGCCCTTCTTTCATCATCGTCGTACCACCTCCTCCTCTTCCTGTGGCAACATCCCAGGCGGGCCTTAAGGTCTGGAGCAACAAAGCTACACTGGGCGCGCGCGGCCGCCCCTGGCGTGATTTAGATTCGCCCCACAGATCGTCCTGAAGAGGTCGAAATCCATGCACATCCTTTCTTAAACCCATTTCCATACCTTCTTGGGAAGCCCCAGAAACCGCCCATCTGCATACCTTTCAAAATGGTTGATAGGGGAGAATCGCCGCTATCCAGCTACCATCACCCCCGAATCAGAGTAGCGGGACACGCCCTCAAGAAGGGAAGTCGCCGCGACGTGGCGCCTTGGCGCGGCTTCCCTGGCCGTAGTGGCGAGCAGCTGAACGACGCCTACAAGCATCGAGGCCCACGAGCCCCCAAAACGACCAGATCATGCAAAATGCAGCATCGCCCCGACGCTCCGCATACACTCGTGCCCCAAGGAGGAAGGAGGATCGACAACAGACCAGACAGGGAAGACGGAGGGGGCGCGACGACAGCGTCACAAGAGCACTCTGCACCAGCACCGTGACATTGGAACACCATGCCACTCCGCACGCCTGGGCTGCAAGTCGCCGCCCCATGGAAGTTCCCCCAAATCAGAGTGGTCGGCCGAACGCATCGCCCAATAGATTTCGTGTTTCGATTGGTCTCCACCCGATAAGTTCAGAGGGCCTCTTCCGGATGCCATGAGACCAGCCAGAAGCCGGCGCTCTCCGTTTGGTCGAGGCTACGAAACTTGCTACGCCTCGTGATTCTCACGGCTCGACATTCGCATTCACTCACAGGACCTCGATATGATATCGCTGGAAACCCATAAGAAATAGTAGTTTCCGGAGAACCTCTGGAAGCACTATGTCCCCCTTGCTCCACACCCTGCCGCCGCTGACCCATGGAACGCCGCCGTCACTCCTCATAGCGAGGTTAAGGGTTTTACATCGTGGCGCAGCACTTCAACCAGGCAAGGCATCGCCAGTCATTTCAAAGTGGCGCGATTTCAAGAGCTTTTGAGAAGGCTACGCCCTCACCGCGCAGGCCTATTACTACCAGGAAGTCCATCCACGCCGCGGGCGGGACGCTTGTGCGTTTTTTTTTGTTCTCTCTCTCTCTCTCTCTTTCACCTCCTCTCTGGTGTTTTCCATCCTTCCTGCTTCTCTCCTCCATCCCGCTTTCCCTCCTCCTCGTGCTCCCCCTCCTCCTGTTCATTCTCTTGGCCGCGGAGGTTAGTGGTCGCCTGCCCCTGCTGCATGATCGTGTTGTACATCGTGCTGGTCTGCGCCCCCCCCCCCGCGCATACCATCGGGGACGCGGCGGGTGTTCGTTTCGCACTGCGTCAGGAAGGTATTCGTGAGTACGAGGAAGGGGGGGGAGTGTGATAATGATGACGAGGAGGAGGAGGAGGAGGAGGAGGAGGAGGAATGTACGCGAGGTTCATCGGTAGTTTCGGGTGTTGTGGAAAGTTCTATTGGATTGTAGTGGAGTCTGGGGGATAGAGCGGGAGGAGACCGAGAAGGAGAATATGGATGACGAGGATAATTGAATTGGAAGGTTCTTGCACATGCTACGTAATTCCCCAATGAGCCTTGCCAAAGGCGTTCTTGTTTGGCTGAAGGTTGCAACCTCGGGTGGCTACTTTGCCCGTTCCTCGGAGGTGCCTCGGGCTTGATGGGTTCTTCGGGTTCCTCGGGTTCTGCGGGTTCATCAGGTTCCTCGTGTTCCCCGGGTTCCTCGGGTTCCTCGGGTTCTTCGGCTTATGCGGGTTCCTCGGGTTCCTAGTGTTCCCTGGAGTCCCCGAGTTCCTCGGGTTCCTCGGGTTCCCCGGGTGCATCGGGTTCCTCGGGTTCCCCGGATTCCCCAAGCAATACCAGGCAATGCCAAGGAATGCGAATCAATGCTAACCATTGCCAAGCAATGCCAAGCGATGCCAAGCAATGCCACGCAATGCCAAGCATTGCCAAGCAATGCCAAGGAATTCCAAGCAATGCCAAGCAATGCCAAGCAACGCGAATCAATGCCAATAATTGCCAAGCAATGCCAAGGAATACCAAGCATTAATCCAAGTAATGCCACGCAATGCCAAGCGATGCCAAGCGATTCCAAGCAATGCCAAACAATGCCAAGCATTGCCAAGTAATGCCACGCAATGCCATGCAATGACGAGCAATATCACGCAATGACAAGCAATGCCAAGCATTGCCAAGCATTGCCAAGCAATGCCAAGCAATGCCAAGCACTGCGCCCATGCAATAGGAAGCTTTCCACTGATTTGGGTCGCGCCAGGTTCATTCATTTTTTTCGGAGGACGGCGAGCAGCAAGATAGCGAAAGCGCAGGGGGAGGAGGAGGAGAAAGACTCATCAACGAAGCTCCCTCTTCACAGGCCCCTACAAGGGTTCATTTGCAGGGAACTGCTTCAATGGGACCAATCAAGAGACAACCGTTTGCACCATTCTCGGGACTCCAACGCCTCGCATCAACAAGAGTGTTGCGTCTTGACGATCCTGAACCGTGCCAGAACACCATTCTTGGGAGTTCAGCACCGCGAATCAACGTAACTGTTGCACCCTCACAATCTTGAGTCTCTCCAATAGACCATTTCTGGTACGTTGGCCATGGGAATCCGCGAAACTGCTGCGACTTTTTAAAACGAATGTTCGCGGCGCTGACGGGAGAGCCCCATTTTGAAACTTAACCGCCTTCAATCCGGGAAGTTTTTACAATTTTTTGAACGAACGTGCGCGGCGCTAATGGGGGAGCCACATTTTGAAAACGAGCCGCCCTCACTCCGTGAATTTCTTGCAAATGTTTGAAACCAATGTGCGCAGCGCTAAGGGGAGAGCCACATTTTGAAAACGAACCGCCCTCAATCCGTGAAGCTCTGACAGTTATTTGACACGAACGTGCGCGGCACTAAAGGGAGAGCCCCATGTTGAAAACCACCCGCCCTCCATTTGTGAAACTGTTGCCAATGTTTGAGCTTCAGGGTCATGAGTGGTGAGGAAGTCTCAGGCAAAACGCCCAGCCCGCACGTTTGACCGGCCCCGGGGTGCGACAGGGAGGGGTTATTTATAAGGACAGGGGATGGAGGAGTGAGCAGGGACGATGGTAATTAGAGGGAGGGCCATAATCCACACCGGGGCGTTGACAAAGGCGATGACGCCGAGTTCAATGAAGATGGAGGCTCAGGAGCTGGGCGCATCGTGCCGCCAAAGCAGGCTACACCAAACGGACGCGGTCGGGGATCCTTCCGCCTCAGGTGCGGGGTTGCATCCTGCTCCGCAGGGCTACCCGTGCGGGGACGCGCTCAGGTCCAGCGACGTCCAGGAGCAAGGAGGAGGAAGAGGAGACGGGGGGGAGGCGTTGGCTCGGCCCGCTCGCTCTGCTACCAGCCCTCACCCTGCACCCCCCAGCCTAGATACCTAAATGCCTAGACATCGCCGTGTCGATGCCTCGGATGCCTAGGCATCTGCATGGGTACGCCTACGCATGCATCGAGGGGTACGTCCATGGACGTAGCTGGACGTAGCTGGGCGTAGCCGATGCCTAGGCATCGACCTGGTGATGCCTAGGCATCGAGCTGGCGATGCCTCGGCGTCGGCAGGAGGGTGTGCAGGGTAGGCATCGGTGGTTCAAGGTACCAGAGCCACTGGGCCGCGCCAAGGGAGGCGCGAAGCCGGCCGTCCCCGAGTAACCGGTGGGGCAGGTGGTGACTGTCAGTGACTGCCTGGCTCGCCGTGCACTCGTGTCGTGATGGCGACCTTTGAGGACCTTCTTCAAAGTACAGACCCTGGGTTCGGGGAAACGTAAGACTCGAGTTCGCCAGAACTTGGGTTCGCCGACGGTTTTTGACGGGCCCGCCCTGGAATTCGACGGCCCAGCTTTGTGGGATTCTTGCAGCGGGTGCTCGCGTCGAATTTCAGTTTGGGTCTCGCCTTGTTCCTCCAAACTTGAGTCCTCCATCTCGACGAGTCTTACGCCTCCCCGACCTGAGTCGGCTGCTGAGGCGCGAAGGTGATCGCGCTTCGCGCGTCGCGGCCTGGGCCAGAGCGGTTGCCATTCTCCAGGGAGCAGCACGGGGGCGGCGGGCGCGCAGAGGGAACCGCGCTTCGCGGGGCGAGAGGCGCGCCAAGTTGATCCTGCGGCCTGGAGGCCTGAACGGACTGCGACAGATCAACACGCGACCTGAGCGCCTGCATCGTGTGCACTGCCAGATTGCACCATCTGCAAGTCATCTCGCCAGTGTCGAGAAATCGAACAAACGCAATCTGCGAAGTAAGCAGACGATATTGCCGCGTCACGGTCGCGGCCTTGCCTCTCTTCTCTTCGCTCGAGAGACCGAGCCTGGTAATCCTAGCGAAGGCCAGGCCAAGATATCGAGAGTGTGTAGGCTTACAGTGTGAAGCTTCGTCGGACGAACAAGTGACGCCACACGGAGACATCAGTGTGGCAAAGCAGTCTGCCCATGCATATCCTTCTACATAGATGGGTTTCATCGGCACCTTACTCTACAGACTCGGACACTGTGTCGCGTGAAGGCGCCAACTCGAAAACAGGCGGCGCGTCTGCCCTCCAGGTGCCCACATTCGACCTTCGCTTCCTCGGCCTCCCCATCATCCTCCCTCCTGCTGCCAGCCTGATCCCCTGGCCCCTGGTTCGAGGTCTGCTTGACGATCGTGGTGTTCTGGCGGCCGTTTGAGCTCGAGATGGATTTCAGCGCCTTCATCAGCGCAGACGGCGACGCGTCCCGGCAGAGGCATGCCTACCTGGCGGCCCTGGACGAAAAGGACCCCGCACCAGGGGGGGGCACAGGGAATGTCAGACTTCCGACGTCGTACGACATGCTCCCGTCCATCCCAGGGACATGGAAGAGGAGGAGGAAGAGGAGGAGGAGGAAGAGGAAAAGGAGGATGAGGATGAGGAGAAGGAGGAGGAGGATGAGGAGGAGGAAGTGGAGGAGCAGGAGGAGGATGAGGAGGAGGAGAAAGAGGAGGAGGATGGAAACCATGTGACGGAGGAGGACGACAACGACCGCGACTACGATGTTGACAACCGCAGGAAGGAGGTAGAGTAGAAGGACGAGGGAGGAGGGCGACCAGGAGGAGGTGGACCAGGAGCAGGAGGGGTGAGGAGTATCAGGAGTGGCAAAGCAGGAGCAGGGGGCAGGGGGGGAAGCGGAGCGGCGGAGGAAGCGAAGGCGGAGGAGGCCGGGCGGGGGGAGCATGAGGGGGAGGAGCTTCTGCAGGAGGATTCGCCCAACCTGGAGGGGGACGGTCGACCGCCTCCGAGCCATCGGCGCGCGACAGGGGCACCGACCCCGCGTACTGCCAGACCTGGCGAGGCGGCAGGGACACGGGCCCCGCGCGCCGCTAGGCCTGCACGGAGCGGCGCTCCGCCGACGCTCGGCTCGGCGAGGACTTCGCACGCCCACGTCGGCCAGCACGCCGAGGTGCACGCCGAGGGACGGCGGGCCAACACGCGAAGCGCCTATGCCCTCGCCGTCTCCCACGCAAGCCCCTCCCTGCGCTGGAACTGCGCCTGTCGGCGAAGCCGCCACCCGCCGCCACGCCCGATGCCAGTGATCGTCACGACCCGCATGTGCTTGACGTCCGAGCCCGCAAGCACGCTCTTATCCTCGTTGCCGTCGCCCTCGCCCTTGCGCTTGTCCTGCACCTCGCATGGGGCTGTGCTGGAACGCGGGCTGCCGCGCCGACGCATCATGGGCGGCTCGTCTGCCCAGGCGTCATCCTCCAACATCGGCGCGGCCGATGAATCGGCCCCCGAGGCCGCGTCCCCAGCCGCCAACTCCTTCCAGTCCGTGCCGTCCGCTGCGACGCCATACTCCACAGCCTCGCCCGGCTTGCCGCTGCGGCCACGAGGCCGACGCCGCAACCGAGGGGCAGCATCGTGTTCCGACAGAGGTGCCGCGGCAGACGCAGGAGGGCTTCACCAGCATGGTTACGGCTCTCGCAGCTCCGAGCAGCCCGTCGTGAGCCTTGCCGCCGCATGCGCCGCGAGGAGAGCACCGCGGGCAACCTCCAGCGCGGCGCGGCGGGCGCACTTCGTGCTGACCATCTGCGGCAGCTCCAGGTGACACGCCAGCGAAACGAGCTTGATCCGTAAGCCATTGCATCGGCAGGAAGAAGAATTCCAAGAGCGGGAGGAGCGAAAGGAGGAAGAAGAGAAGGAGGATGAAAGGATGATGATAAGGACAAGTGGGCGGTGGAAAGGGGAGCGAGAGAGGGATGACATGAGCATGGAGCTGCAGTGGGATGAGTAGCAGCAGGGGAGGACCAGCATGAGGCAATGTTCCTTGGCACTTCCCCCGTTTTCTTCTCGTCCCTCTCTTCATCTCTCCTCCTCCATCATCTTCATTTCCGTCATTCACCCTTGCTCACGCTCGCTCCTGCCACGGCTGTGCTTCGGGCTGGCGCCGCGCATGTTGGGCGCCTTGGTCTTGAAGTGGACAAGGTGCGCCGTCCCGTTCACGCCCGACCACAAAGATGCCACAATGTGTCAAGATCGTTCACCACGCTGGTCTCGCAGCGCAGTGCGCCGCAAACGTTCGCGTGTGACGCATGCGCGGTTTACGCACGTCGTCAGGATGGCCATATCGCAGAGGCTGGCACAACATGATGACACCGACATTATACAACCGTTCCCACCTGTATGCTGAATTGTACATTGTGTCGGTCTCCAAACGGCTGCGTCACACCAAGCCTCTGAATGTGCGACCGCGATCTCATCCTCACGGGCGCGCGCACTGGCGTCACATAGTTACATGACAGCACCCGGCTCTTCCTCCTGGCTGATTTCCTACGCGCGTGTGCGTAATTATCCCGCACCTTGGCCATACTACTCTACTTGAGCGCATGGTGGGTCCAGACCATGTGCTGGTTCGCCGGCCACTGCAACTCAGTGGAGATTCCTGGCATCGTGGCGAGCTCGGCAACGCTTGTAGGGGCTGGCTACTTCGAGGCTTCCCGACCATTCAGCTGACATTGCTACGAGCTCACTGATACGATCGTCCTCTTCGCGCAATCCAGGTTTCGCAGCACCGTGCCGAAAGCAGGGGGCTTGGCGGTGCGGCCGTGCCCTGGGTATACGGCGTCGAAAGAGGCGCAGGAATATAATGACGAGCAAGACGATCGCCCTCAACTGTGATTTGCTGCGGTTCCCCCTTTACCATGGGGCATGCACCCGATCGACTTCCCTGCCTCGCAGCATCATATCTTTGACAGTGATGCTCTGATGCCTGGCGCGGTGGTGCACACTGACGGCAGCAAGAAGAATTGTGGCGCGATCGCGCAACCCTCGCTCGGGCATCTCCACGGTGGAGCGATAGGACGATTATTGGGCATCCAGTTGGTCTTCTTCGTTGCCGCGTCCGGCGTGGAGTGGGGAGGCTCCGCTCCGTTATGCATTGGCTCGCCCCTCGTCTCCTCCCCTTTTGCGCGTCGTGCGCACAGCCATGTGCCGCGTGCAGTGCTGCGCCTGGAGAAGCGGGGCGGATACGCTCGTTTCGCATGATTTCCGCCGCAGCTGCAGACATGCTGGTCCCGGGGCCGTCGCTGCCTGGCAACTGCTGGATTTGGCCCACGTATGCGTTCGCTCGTTATGTCTTCCTTCGACAAAAGGGTCTCGATGTATACGCCGCGTCGTTTGGTCGGCCAGGGGGCCAAGGAGCCCGGCGAAGAAATTATGTGCATGGGCGCTCCAGTGCCCCACTGGTTGGGCAGCTGGAGAGTCTGTACGTCGAGCTCCTTAGCGACCAGACGGCTTGGTGCATGCGTCGATCCCCGCCTGTCCCACCCATGCCCACCCCTGCTGCCACTCCCCTTTTTTCCTTCCCCCCTAACTCCACCTCCATCCCCCCCCCCTTCGGGAGAAGCGGGAGGAGGGCGGGTAGGGGCAGGAAATCGAGGAGGAGCAAGAGGAGGAGGGATGGTTCCACGGCGCATGATTCTCCAGGGCACATCAGATACGTTGTATAGAAATAGTTGATGGTTCTTGTCGGTGCACGCTTCGACCTTAATTTAAACGTGTTCGATGGACAGAGCCTGGCAACGGGTATTTTCGAGATATGGCCCCTGTTTCCCCCTTCTCGTTCCTCCCATCCATTCCTCCAATCCATGCCCCTTTCTTCTTCGCTTGGTTTGCGTTTGCTGAGCTTGCTGCACTGTAGCCGCAGCGGCTTCGAGTTCTGTTGAGAGAGAACAAGATTGTCAAGATGGCAGCGGAGCGCGGTTAGGCGCAGCAGTGACGTGGAGGCCTTCGCACAGGAGGCGCTGGAGGCCAAGCGGGAGATCGGGAGGCTTCTCTCGCTGATCGAGAATCCGAATGCGACGATTGGCAACGATTGGCCAGCTCCAGGAGGCTTCGTCGACGACAGCGGCGGCGGCGGAGACGGGCGCGGCCACCCGGCAGCGCCAGGAGCAGATCATGGGTGCCCTGATTGGCGACAAGGGCAAGCCGCCGTCTTTCGTCAACGTGAAGAAGCCCGATCATTTCGATTGGAGCTTCAAGTTCAAGGCCTTCATAGGCAACCAGAGCAGGAAGGCGCTGGAAGGCATGACTCAGGTGGGCCACTGCCGCTATGGCATAGCCAGAACGCGCTGAATTACGGCAGCTACGACGACGAGTGGCGGCAGATGGCACGCAGCCTGCACTTCGCGCTCACGATGTACACGGAGGGCGCGCCACTCGGCATCGGCAGAAAGGTCAGCAACCAGGGCGGCTTCGAGGCGCACAGGAGGTTGAGCTCCCAGTGCGACCCGCAGAACATGGGTAGCATCCTCTCGCGGCTGATGATGGCGTTGGAGTTCGATTTCGGCGGCGAGTCGGAGTTCCTGGACAACCTCGCGAAGTTCGAGAACCTGACCGAGGAGTGCGAGAAGTTGGCCATGGGGAACCTCAGCGACAACATCCGCCCGGCGGTGCTGATCGCGCGAGCTCCTGAGGCGCCGGAGAACCACGTCTTCTTGTCGATCCCGAAGGAAGACATCGAGTGGAACACGATCAAGAAGGTCACGTCAGACTACCTGTTGACGAAGCAGCCCACGCCTGGAGGACCCGCGCCGATGAACGTCGGCTGGGCCCAAACAAGCGGCAAGTGGGGCCGACGGCCTGGCAAGTGCGCCGACTGGAAAGGCGGCATGTGTAAAGACTCAAAGGGCAAGGGTAAGGACTCGAAAGGCACGGGCAAGGACAAAGGCGACAGGGGCGGCAAGGGCGACGGCAAGCCGAAGTTCCAGGGACACTGCGGTCGGCGCGGTAAGCGGGGCCACAAGCAGAAGGATTGCTACGCCAAGATCAACGAGGTGGGCACGGGCGACTGGAGCAGCTGGAACGAGGGCTGGAACACCGACGACTGGGGCCAGAGCTGGGGCGGCCAGCAGGGCCAGGGCCAGGGCGAGCCCGCTCCAGCGCAGCTCAGCAAGGAGACCACCACTACTGCGGCAACGGCCGCGTCGGTTGAGTGCCAGGTGTGCGACGGCGAGTCGGCTTGGATCTTCGCGGTCGGCGCGTGCGACGTCTCTGTGGGCACGCGCGCGGGGCAGGCGGTCGACGCGATAGTCGACGCATGCGCGAATCGGTCGGCCCGCGGCCCGAAGGACTTCCCAGACGACCCGACCATCCAGGATGCGACGCTGGAGATGCAGGTCGCGAGTGGGACGAAGATCAGGCACTACGGCGACAAGCAGGTGAACCTGAAGACGGAGTTCGACGACGAGATCAACGCGAAGTTCAACGCGACAGATGCGACTAGGCCGATCCTGAGCGTGACCAGTATCAACATTGCAGGTGCTGGCGTGGAGTTCCAGCCATCCAGCACGAGGGGCTCGGCTTCGATCGCGAGGGATTCGAAGAGCGGGCGAAAATGGCTTGGGCTGATTAAGGCGTTCGGGCTGTTCTTCCTGCGCGCGACGGTCATGGCCTGCGCGGGGGCGAAGCGCGGAGCGCGCGGTCTGGTCGCCAACAACGCGGCCACGGACGACGCGACCCCGTTCCTTGCGCAGGAGGTCGACAAGCCCATCGAACCGGCTGCGGTGACAGCGCCGAGAGAACCCAATAAGGCGGAGAGGGAGGCCCACTAGGCCACCCATTGCCCATGCGCTGCGCGGCGCGCGGACTGCGCGGCAGGGCGAGGGTTAGACGACCGACGCGAGAGGATCACGGAGGCAGAAGGTGCGCCTGTGGCCCAGATCGACTACACGTTCGGCAAGACGCGTCATGACGAGAAGGTGCGCCCAATCATGAACGCGATAGACAACGTATACCACGCTACGGCTTCAGTTTGATGTGGGGGCATGCTTGTGGCCGAGTGCCTCAAGCGCTACGTGGAGAAGCTGGGGCACGAGAAGGTGACCGTGCAGTGCGACCCCGAGAAAGCGGCCAAGGATGTGGCGATCAAGGTTGATCGGGATGCCGGTAACAAGGCGACGTTCAGAACTACCCCGAAGACGAGCAAGGGCGGCAACGGCATGGTGGAGCGGTTCCACGCGATCATCGAAGGGATGGCGAGGACCTGGAGGAAAGCCATCGGGGACAAGTACGGGATCGTCATTGAGCTGGGGCACCCGATCATGACATGGATCGTGCGCCACGCGTCGTGGACACGCGATCGGTTCCTGGTCCACCACTCGGACTACAAGACGTCGTTCGAGCGCCAGAACGAGAAGCACTACGATAAGAAGGTCGCGCCTCTTGGCGAGACTGATGCGGAGACAGCATGGGCTCATCGCGGCGCAGTTCGAGACCGCATGGGGCTACGGGATCTACTTGGGGAGGTCGCTGGAGGACGACGCCCGCATCTGCGGGGCGCGCCAAGGCATCGTCGTGGCGAGGTCCGCGCAGAGGCTCGTGGAGAGCGAGCGCGACGACCAGCAGCTGTTTCTGGCCATGCGAGGCACCCCCTCGGACCTGAAGGCGGCCAACGCGTCGGTGCCCGCGGTGGACAGGGAGGCCCCGAACCTCAACCTGCCGCAGCCCGCTCGGCTTCCACGGCCCGAGGCGGGCGCGGCGGCGCAGGAGGGGCAGCCGGCGGCGGGCGGCCAGAAGGGGCAGCCGGCCCCGAGTCGCCCGAGCCAGCCCGGCTCTGAGGCGGCGGCCGCGAGGCCGCAGGAGGGGGAGGCCGAAGCCCGAGACGACCGTCGGCGCCAACATGGACGACATCGAGGACGACGACCCTCTGCCCGTGGAGAAGAGGCCGAGGGAGAGACCACCTACGCGAGCGCTGCCGAAACCGACGTCGGCGGGGTTCGCGCCCGGGCGCAGTGGATGCGTCGGGATATCATGCCGGCATGCCAACTGGCGCCTGGGAAGGAGGGGGGCGCCTCCTCGCGCGCCGCGCGGCAAGCGGGCCGCTGCGGAGGATGCCGGGCCCGCGCCCGAAGCCGGGAGGGCGGCGGGAAGCGAGGGGCCACAGAGCTCGGCTGGCAAGAGATCCACCGACGACAGCGGCGCGCCTGCAGAGGGCGAGGCGCCGCCCAAGGGGAGGAAGATCGGCGCGGTGACGATCGCCGACGTGACGGAGCTAGGCTACCCTGGTGGCACCGAGCTCCACGCCCCCTGCGAGCTCGACCCGAACTTCGAGCTGCTGGAGGAGGCCTACTACGACGACGACGACGGCGAGCACCTCGACCCGGACAAGGTCCACGAGGGGATCAAGAGGGGGGCGAAGTTCACGGGGCCCCTCGGCGTCGGGGGCCCCGCGCCGCGCCCGCGCGACAACGCGGCGTGGGGCGCGAGGTGGTGCCGCCGCAAGAAGGGCGACGGCGCGCGGAGCAGGTTCGTCGCGAGGCAGTTCAAGGGCGCGCAGGCGGGCGACTTCTTCGCCTGCACTCCGAGGGCGGAGGCCGTGAGGACGCTGATGGCGGCGGCGCTGCTGCTCAGGCGCGCGATCGCGACGACGGACTTCAGCGCGGCCTTCGTGCGCGCGCCCGTGGAGGACGGGGCGGGGATCTACGTGGAGATGCCGCCTGAGTACGGCAGGGGGCGTGGATTCGCGTGGGCTCAGAGAGGCAGCGCGTCGATTCCAGGAGCCTCTGGAGAACATCGCGGTTGGCCTTGGCCTCGAGGCGTGCAAGGCGGAGCCCGCCATGTATCATCGCACCGAGCAGGGGGCCGGGGTCGTGGTCCACACGGGCGATCCTCTCGCCTCTGGTCCAACGCGGCGTGTTCTCGACGAGTTCTTCGACAAGCTCGCGGAGCGCCTCCTGATCAAGGGCCGCTTCGTCCTGGGCGAGGACCCCGCGATGTACCTCGGCTCGTCGTTGCAGCGGTTCGACGACGTGATCGCGGAGAAGAGCGAGCCCGGGTACGTGGAGAGCATCCTCGAGGCCGCCTGGGTGACTGACTGCCGGCCCGTGGGCACGGCAGGCGCCAGGCCAGACCTGGCCGAGCCTGGCGCGGAGGAGCCGCTCAACGGCGAGGAGCACTCGCTGCGTCGGAGGTGCTGCGGGGAGATCCAGTACACCATCCCCAGGAGGCTGGACTTGATGTACCCGCTGAAGGAGCTCGGTCGGCGGCTGAGCGAGCCGCGGAAAGCCGACATGAAGTGCTTGAAGCACCTCCTCCGCTACGGGACCCGCGACATGACGATGGTCCACCGCGCCTCCAATGACTGACAACGACTCCGAGGTAGCACCGACTCGGGCTGGGCAGGATGCCACGAAACCAGGAAGTCGACCTGCTGCGGGATCGTGCGCTGGCGCGGCATGGTCATGAGGGCGCACGCTCGCACGGAGTCGGCGTTGGCCCAGTCGAGTCCCAAGGCCGAGTACCTTGGCGCAGTGGAGTTGGCGGCGGAGATTCTCTACGCGCGGGGGATCATTCGCTTCGTGGGTTTCGACGCGTCGATGGAGATCGAGTGCGACGCCCCATCCGCCATCGCCATTGCCACCCGACGCGGACTCGGACGCCTACGACATCTTGGGGTGAAGTGGCTCTTGCTCGGACAGCTTGTGGGCACGGGACAGATCAAGATCGCGAAGGTGAAGGGCATCGAGAATGCCCCAGACGTCGGCACGAAGTTCCTCGTCAAGGCGGCGCTCGAGAAGTGCGGGTCCATGCTCGGCCTGGCGGCGGTCGACAAGTTCGGCAGTGCGGTGGTCGCGGCGCTGAGCGCAGGGAGATCGGCAGGATTCCTGGCGACTTTCATGATCCTGGTGAGCGACGCGAGAGCGCAACCTGACCAAGACAGAGGAGGACTCGAGCCGCACATGATGATCATGTTCGCCTGGACCCTGAGCTGCGTCCTTATTAGGCTGCTGTTCGGCTACCTGTACGCACACTTCAGGGCGTGCACGACGAATGCGACGACACTGGCGGGACCGACTGCATCGAGTTCCTCGTCTACGGAGATGCCGACGGAGCTGGCGGTTCAGACGACGACGGCGGAGGCGACGGAGCCGACTCCGGTACCACCACCACCCGTGACCGGGGAGGTCGGGCCACAGACGGACGGCGAGAGCGCGGGATCATCGAGGCCTGGAGACGGTGCTCGGCTCCGCGGAGGGCGTCCGCGAATGCAGCTGGTATACCATCTCGACGACCATGCGGCCATGGTCCACGTGACGCCGAACTGCCCAGCGCTGGCCAATCGGACGAGGTGGATGGTCACACGCGGGACGTGCTCGATCTGCTGCGCCGTTTTGCCAGCAGAGCGGGCGACGGTGTACCACGCGGACAGCCCAGAGACGCTGGTGCACCGCGACCACGGCTGCCACGGACTGGGCGGCCGCAGGAGGCGGCTGATCGATCGGGCCCTGCTGCAGCGTCTGCTTCGGGCGGATGCAGTGGAGGCTGCCCGACGGTGAGTGAGGGAGGTGTTTTTTCGACTGAGGTGAAGACCTCGGCAAGAGGCTCGATGAGGGGTGTCGAGATATGGCCCCTGTTTCCCCCTCCTCGTTCCTCCCGTCCACTCCTCCAATCAATGCCCCTTTCTTCGCTTGCTTTGCGTTTGCTGAGCTTGCTGTACTGTAGCCGTTGTGGCTTCAAGTTCTGTCGAGAGAGAAAAAGGCTGTCTCGAGGTATGGCCAGCGAAGGGGTGGAGCAGAACCAGAGGAGGAACAGGGGGATGACTACGAGGAGGAGGAGGGAGGAGCAGGAGGGATGACGATGCGGAAGAGGACGGGGAGGAGGACGAAAAAGACGGGGAGGAAGAGGGGCACCTTGGCTGCTCATCACCATCGCTGAGGCGTATCATGTCCGGGAGGGGCCGGACACCGTAACTATCATTGCAGAGGGCCACAAGGTCTACCGCCACTACCCGGGGGCAGGATCGTGGAGCATGAAAGTCATTTTGAATACGTTTTTACAAATTGTATGTTAGGCGAGGTGGAGTGGCTGGGCCGGTCTGGGAGGGTGGACTTCGAGCTCGGGCCCCCCTTCGATGAGACCTCACATCGCGCGCCCCTGCACAGGATTATCTTTACGCACGGTGCGCACGACGACGAGTGGGAGAATTCGATGAACGACGCATTGCTTATTATGCACGACGGCCGCAACCCAGATGGAGTTGCATGGATTTGGGATTTTAATGCGGACGGCAACGTGCAGTTCGGGATCGGGGCTCTGGAGGACGAGGATAGGTGGGAGGTTCTTCAGGTCATGGTCGAGGGGGCTGGGCTCACCAGCGCCATTTCGAGCCAGACGCCGCTGACCACGCACATCTGCAGCGCAGCGCAGGGTGGGAGACGATCGTGGCTCGACCATTGCTTCGTGTCGGAGGGGCTGGAGGTGGACGCGTGGACCGATTGGAGTAGAGCCCCTGGCGACCATTGTTGGGTCTCTGCCCGCCTCCCATGCCTGGGGGTGGCCTGGCGTGCCAAGCGAGCGTGGCACTGGATGATATTGAAGCTTATCAGCATGACTTGGATAGTATCCCCAGTCATGAGCTTTCTTCAGTGGGCGCGATCGTCAAGGCGATCACGGAGAAGATGGAGGTGCACTCCAGCTCATCCTCGGCCCGGGAGCGACGCGCACACAGAGACCCCATGCAGTTGAAAGACCTCCGGAGGCGCGCGCGGGTGTGCTTGGACTCCGCGGAGAACCTGTAACTCCGGAAGCTCTTGTTCGACGTGCGAAAGACGTGGCTGGCCAAGCTGCGGGACCTGGACGAGGCGTCGGCGTTCCGCAAGCGACGGCGCCTCGGTGGCAAGAGGACCGGCCTCCACCAGATCACGGCGATGAACACGAACGGCAAGCGCACTACCGACAAGTCGAAGTGGGCGGCAGAATGCTGGCAAGAGATGGAGTGTCGTTGGACGCGGCCGGCAAAGGAATTCGCAGATCTGTGGAGCTCCGTCGACATCTTGGGCAGCCTGCAGGGCGCGAGGGTCTTCGAAGACGCGGAGGTGGGACTCTGCCCGCGTGCTCTCAAGGCGGAAGCGGGTGCGCGAGTTGCGGCCAAGGCGCTCGAGCTACTGCTCGTTCACGACCGTGGGTGGCACGAGGTCCCGTTGGAGGGATATGTGAAGGGCAAGGCTTCTAGCACCACCGGGGCAAAGAACACGAGGGCGGTCATCCCACAAAATACCATCTGCAGCACCGGCCACTATGTCACGCGGAAGCGGGTGACTCCATATGCGGATGCCTGGAACCAGCGCGAGGGCACAGGCGCCCTAGTCCTGGCGGGCTGCAAGGGGCACCAACTCCTGGAGATGACTTTCGCGGCCAGTCAGGTCGTGGAAAAGAGCTCAGACAGACGTGACGCGGGAGCAGCAGCGAGCATGGACATTGTAAACTATCACGACTCTGTGAGCTGGGGGCACCAGCGGATGGCCTTGGCCCAGCGCGGCGTGCCAGACGCAGGTGCGACCATGCTGCTTCGCCTCCACGCCCGGCCGAGGGGCAAGCTGTCGGTGGAGGGGGCCCTGACGCCCGAGTTGGAGCGATCCCGGGGCCTGTGGACAGGAGCGTCGTCGGCAGCCCTCATCGCCAGATGGCCCGTGGAGGGAGCTCTCATACGCAGTGCGGGCGCCATCTCGGGGGCGGCGTGGGAGGCGGCCCCGGGCGTGCCCTTGTCGCCGATGGCGTGGTCGGACAATATTTTCGCTTTCGGGGGCAGCCCCGCAAGCGCCATTGCGCAGCTGACAGCCATCGAAGAGGCGCTCGCGGAGGAGGGCTTGGCCGTCACGCCGTCGAGCCGGGAGGTGCTCGCCGGCGCCAGCAGGCAACTGCAAGCTCGTCGCCGGAGGGTCAGAGTGGAATGCGAAAGATACGCTGCTTCTGCTGGGCCATGGTATCCAGGGCAACGGGCGCACCTTGCAGTGCCGCAGCACAGCGAAACTCAAGTTGCAGAGGATGTTCCACGCCAGCGCTCGCATACTTCACTCGGGGGAGCGTAAGACCCGGGTTTGCCAGGACTCAGGTTCGCCATCGTTTTTTGACGACCGCGACTCGGATTTTGACGAGTAGGAGTTTCATGGGATGTCTGCAGCGGGAGGCCTCGTCAAAAAGCAGGCTCGGCCTCGTCATTACCTAAAAGCGAAGACTGATAGGTTTCTAGTAGGGCCAAAAGAGAGCATCATGGCGCCCCAGGGGGGTCTGGGCGCGATCCGGGGGAGGATGCCGGGGGGATGCCGGGGAATTCGTTTTCAGCCAACAGTAGCGCTTTTCGTGGTCTTCGAGTTCCCAGAACTCCATTCCTGGGCATGATTTTGACTGCCCGGAGCCAACTGTAGGCCACTTCGTGTTCTTCGTGTTCCCAGAACACCATTCCCGGGCCACATGTTGAATGCCCGGAGCCAGTTGTAGACCACTTCGTGGTCTTCGAGTTCCCAGAATTCCATTCATGGGCATGATTTTGAATGCCCGGAGCCAACTGTAGGCTACTTCGTGGTCTTCGAGTTCCCCGAACTCCATTCTTGGGCATGATTTTGAATGCCCGGAGCCAACTGTAGACCACTTTGTGTTCTTCGAGTTCCCAGAACTCCATTCCCGGGCCACATTTTGAATGCTGAGGCAGGCTGATGTTGAGGCTGAGGCAGGCTGAGGCTGATGCAGGCTGAGGCCGAGGCCGAGGCTGAAGGCAGACTGAGGCTGAGGCTGAGGCAGGCTGAGGCTGAGGCTGAGGCAGGCTGAGGCTGAGGCTGAAGCAGGCTGATGCTGAGGCAGGCTGAGGCTGAGGCTGAGGCTGATGCAGGCTGAGGCTGAGGCAGGCTGAGGCTGAGGCCGAGGCTGAAGGCAGACTGAGGCTGAGGCTGAAGCAGGCTGAGGCTGAGGCTGAGGCAGGCTGAGGCTGAGGCTGAGGCAGGCTGATGCTGAGGCAGGCTGAGGCTGAGGCTGAGGCTGATGCAGGCTGAGGCTGAGGCAGGCTGAGGCTGAGGCCGAGGCTGAAGGCAGACTGAGGCTGAGCTGAAGCAGGCTGAGGCTGAGGCTGAGGCAGGCTGAGGCTGAGGCTGAGGCAGGCTGGCTGAGGCAGGCTGAGGCTGAGGCTGAGGCTGATGCAGGCTGAGGCTGAGGCTGAGGCTGAGGCCGAGGCTGAGGCTGAGGCTGAGGCTGAGGCTGAGGCTGAGGCTGAGGCTGAGGCAGGCTGAGGCTGAGGCTGAGGCTGAGGCAGGCTGAGAGGCTGAGGCTGAGGCTGAGGCTGAGGCTGAGGCTGAGGCTGAGGCTGAGGCTGAGGCTGAGGCTGAGGCAGGCTGATGCTGAGGCAGGCTGAGGCTGAGGCTGAGGCTGATGCAGGCTGAGGCTGAGGCAGGCTGAGGCTGAGGCCGAGGCTGAAGGCAGACTGAGGCTGAGGCTGAAGCAGGCTGAGGCTGAGGCTGAGGCAGGCTGAGGCTGAGGCTGAGGCAGGCTGATGCTGAGGCAGGCTGAGGCTGAGGCTGAGGCTGCTGCAGGCTGAGGCTGAGGCAGGCTGAGGCTGAGGCCGAGGCTAAAGGCAGACTGAGGCTGAGGCTGAAGCAGGCTGAGGCTGAGGCTGAGGCAGGCTGAGGCTGAGGCAGGCTGAGGCTGAGGCCGAGGCTGCAGGCAGACTGAGGCTGAGGCTGAAGCAGGCTGAGGCTGAGGCTGAGGCTGAGGCAGGCTGATGCTGAGGCAGGCTGAGGCTGAGGCTGGCTGAGGCTGCAGGCTGAGGCTGAGGCTGAGGCTGAGGCCGAGGCCGACGGCAGACTGAGGCTGAGGCTGAGGCTGAGGCTGAGGCTGAGGCTGAGGCAGGCTGAGGCTGAGGCTGAGGCAGGCTGATGCTGAGGCAGGCTGAGGCTTGGGCTGAGGCTGATGCAGGCTGAGGCTGAGGCAGGCTGAGGCTGAGGCCGAGGCCGAAGGCAGACTGAGGCTGAGGCTGAAGCAGGCTGATGCTGAGGCTGAAGGCAGGCTGAGGCTGAGGCTGAGGCTGAGGCAGGCTGAGGCTGTGACTGCGACTGCCGTTGCCACTTGGACTGTCATCGCGAATGCGACTGCGACTGCGAGAACAGCAGAATTCTACAACTGGATTCTCATCTGAATCTTAAGGGGAATGCTTCCAGATATGCTCCTACACATCGCTGTTCGGTTGCTTTGTCGGGATATTTGTTTTGACGACCTCGTCGGGGATTTCCAAGTCCCCTGTACCCGGGTCTTACGCCCCCCCTGATTCACAATCAGTCACTGCCAGCTCGGGGAGATGTGATTTGTGGAACAGCCTGTCGCAAAGTGTTCTGTCGTATCATTGCACAAGGTGGCATCCTGGAAGAAAGGCATTGGCAGGGCTCGATTCCATGCAGCTGCGCTTCCTCTCGGACATCCAGCGGATCCTTCGCTGGAGTGGTGAGCCTTTCCGCTCGTGGCGGACGCGGCAGGCAAATGCTGCGCGCGGCATGCGATCCCGTGCTTGGAGCCACCTGTGGATAGGTAAATGCATGGACTGGAAACGACACCTCGGCCGCCATCCAGACCTGCCAGCCGCTCAAGCTCTACGGGTGCAGCCGCCCGCGTGGCTGCAGCAGCGCCGGGCCCGCCACAGACGCCAGGGCGACACGCTCGACGGCGGCCATACGCAAACCGTGTCAGCAGGAGGGTCCCCCAGCAGATGGGAGGGCATTTGGGCCGAGTGCCTAGAGGACGCCCCGGACTGGCGTACAGCGTCCACTGCAGAGATTGAGCGGGCAATCCGCGTCATGTGACTGTCGTTTGCGCACACTCTGATGCGCCGTGTTTCACACTTTTGCTTCGTATTTGAACTTTGCGTTGTTGCAAACACTATCGTCTGATGCTCTTGCGGGCTCCCGTGTGGCTCCCTTGGGGCTCCGGAATAAGAGTTCGCTCATGTTTTCAAGTCACTTGGTTTCGGTGAGCATCTCATTACAGATGTGAAGAAAAAGAAGAAGAGGAGGAAGAGGACGGGGAGGAAGGGGTGTTGCCGACGAAAAAGAGCCAAAAGGAGTTGGAGGAGGAGGAGGGGGGAAGGAATGAGGGACGAGGAGAAGAGGAGGAAAGAAGAGGAGGGAGGAGGAGGAGGTGGATGATGATGAGGAGGAAATATGTCATCATGAAGATATATGAAGATGGGGAAGAGGACGAAGATGGAGGGCGTGATTGGGGGGAAGGAGGAGGAGGTAGAGGAGGAGGAGGAGGAGGAGGAAGAGGAGGTGGCATGAGGGGGTGACGGAGGGGTGCGGTAATGGGAAAGAGGAGGTGATGGAGGAAACGGAGGAGGTCAAAGAGGGAAAGGAGAGGTGCAGCAGCATGCCATACCAGCACCTGCCGCGGCGCCGGCGCGCCCCAGAAAGCGCCCACGAGCAGCAGGCGGCTCCATGAGGTTGGCGAGGCCGCGCTGGGGCGGGGTTGGTGCCGAGACATCCCATTGGTCAGTTGGCGCAGTGGCTTCGTTTCTGGCCGTGGACTCCCCCATGCTTCTTCCTTCGGAGGTATCCTCACCCAGACTTCCCCTGGACTGTCAGACTTTCTCGCGCATTGAAGACTGGCACCAGTTGGCCAGCCCAGACATCGGACACCGAAAAATGCCCTCAAGCATGGCTGGGTATCATTTTCAAGAGGGGGGGGCACGGGGGAGGACCCTGGCCCGAGCCCCTGGAGGAAAAGAGGAGGGAGTAGAGAGAGGACGCCGCCGCCGCCGTCGCCGCCGTCGTCGCCGTCGTCGTCGTCGTCGTCGTCGTCGTCGTCGTCGTCGTCGTCGTCGTCGTCGTCGCCGCCGTCGTCGTCGTCTTCGTTGTCGTCCTTGTCGTCGCCGACGTCAACGTCAATGTCAACACGAGAGCGAGGTCTACGCAGTCTGAGGCGAGCAACTGTCGCCGCGTCTGCGTATCTTCTCCATCATCCGGCGGGGTAGAGTGCGGCGGGATCCAGCCAGAGGGGGGCCGCACGGCCCCGTGGTGCTCCCCCTCGGGGGAGGAGGGGGGCCCTGGCTGGACGGGGTTCACTGCCTCGGAGACGGCGGGTGCACGGGGCTCGTCCCCGCGTGGCCCAACGATGGCGCCGGTGTGCAGAAGTTGCGCTTGCGGCGTGCTCTCATCCTTGCCCGGAATCCGCACATGCTGCAATTCTGGAGTGCACAGGGGCCCCGTGCCGGTCGCGCGCGGCAGAGCGGTGCGCCGTTTCTGCTTCGCGTAAGAGCGTCTCGCTCCTCTGTCGATTGTGTAATTCGATTTCGGTATTGAGGTAAGTTCACATTCGACAGGCTCTTTTCAGCAACAGCGCCTGCATGGGAGTCGACAGGATCTATTTCGATTGAGTGCTCGCGTCTGCAGAGGCTGATATGATTGATTGCTTAAGAGGTTTACGCCATGTCGCCAACCCCCAGAAGACCAGAGAAATGTACGGCTTCCGAGCTCGTCAGAGCGAGGGGGCCGAACGATCATTCATTGTCCTTGGGTGCGTGGTTGAAGTGCGGATCCGTGGTGAAGATTCTGCTTCTTGAACTCTCATTCTTGAATAATAATTATTGTTGATCCCCCCCCACCGGTGCACATTGATTTTTTCAATTGAAGTGCCCCCCCGGGGCTCGCACCTTGTTTGTTGTCAAGGCATGTCTTCCTGCTCAAACTGGCCCCCTGGCCCCCGGATTACAACAACAACGGCTTCCGCATGAGACTGCCTCACAATTTAGCCAGGACCCCTCCTCCGGCCCGAGACTTCCTCGCATTTTATGCGCTCTCGCTTGGGACTTCCCTACGATTTATTTAGGAATCGCTCCTCCTGCGCTCTGGAGTCGCGCTCTCGCTGGAGACTTGCTTGCAATTTACTGAAGAATAGCGCCCTTGCGTTGGAATTTCTTGCAATTTACTCCAGCGCCGCGCTCCCGACACCCAGGCACCCAGGAGTCGCGCTCACGCTTAGGACTCCTTCACAGATTACCTAGGAATCGGGATCTCGCTGCCCCGTTGCAGCCCTTCGTGGCCCCCTCGCTTTGTTTCGTGGCCCCGTTGCAGCCCTTCGTGGCCCCCTCGCTCTGTTTCGTGGCCCCGTTGCAGCCCCTCGTGGCCTCCTCGCGGCCCTTCGTGGCCCCGTTGCAGCCCCTCGTGGCTTCCTCGTTGCCCTTCGTGGCCCCGTTGCAGCCCTTCGTGGCCCCCTCGCTGCCCTTCGTGGCCCCGTTGCAGCCCTTCGTGGCCCCGTTGCAGACCTTCGTGGCCCCCTCGCTTTGTTTCGTGGCCCCGTTGCAGCCCTTCGTGGCCCCCTCGCTTTGTTTCGTGGGCCCATGTATGTCTGCCCTTCGTGGCCCCCGCTTGTTCGCGCCCGTGGTGGCCCCATATGCATGCCCTTCGTTGCCCCGCTGTCGCCCTTCGTGGCCCCCTCGCTGCCCTTCGTGTCCCCGTTGCTGCCATCAGTGGCCCCGTCCGTACCCTCCGCGGCCCAACATACGTATGCCCTTCGTGGCCTCCGCTCGTTCGCGCCCGTTGTGGCCCCATGTGCATGCCCTTCGTGGCCCCGCTGTCGCTGCTTGTGGCCCCCTCATTGTCCTACGTGGCCCAGATGCTACCCTCAGTGGCCCCATCGTTGCCTGCAGTGGCCCCGCATTATCTGCCCTTCGTGGCCCATGCTCGTTCGCGCTCTTCGTGGCCCCATGCGCATTCCCTTCGTGTCCCCGCTGTCGCCCTTCGTGGCCTACTTCGTGTCCTTCGTGGCTCTGCTGTCGTTCTCTCTCGCTCTCGCTTTCGCTCGTCGTCGCCGTCGCCGTCGTTGCCGTCGTCGTCGACGTCGTCGTCGTCGTCGTGGTCGGTCCCCTGTCCGTCCCTCTTGGGGTCGGGTCGACGGTCCGCGGCCGCCCCGCCGATCAGCGCTGCCGCTGGCCAGGCCGACGGTCCGCGGCCGCCCCGCCGCTTGCCGGGGCCCAGCCTGCAGGGAAGAAAGGTATACCCCCCAGAAGGGGTTCGATCGAAGACGAAAAGGGCGGGTATCGAGGGTTTGGGAAATTCGCATTATTCGATACTCGAGCAGATAAGGGCGAATAGTCTTAAAATGATTGTTGTTGTTGTTGTTGTTGTTGTTGTTGTTGTTGTTGTCGTCATTCCCCCGCGACCCACCCCGTGACCCACCCGCGACCCACCTCGCGACCCACCCGCGACCCACCCGCGACCCACCCCGCGACCCACCCGCGACCCACCACGCGACCCGCTCGCGACCCACCTCGCGACCCACCCGAGACCCACCCGCGACCCACCCGCGACCCGGACCCACCCGCGACCCACCGTCGACCCACCCGCGACCCACCTGCGACCTTACCCGCGACCCGCCTACATTGTTTTAACAATAATTGGCGCCTGCGGCGGGCTGGTTGTACAGATTGAAAAAAAATGCGTCTGCGGCGGGCGTCTTCAAAGCCTCGCAGACTGCCGACGTCCCCGCCGCCCCTAACTCTTACCCGCAACTGCGGGGTGCTACGTATGTGGTATGTTACGCTTCCCGCCGTGCTTCTTGAGTGTAGTTGTTGCTGGTTTGAACTCTTCCTCGACGTCTGTTGTGGGGCGTCTGTGGGGCCTCTTGGAGGCCTCGGGGTCGGCCACAGTCAGGATCCGCACCTGCCCATTTCGGCACACCCCTCACACTTTTCGTGGACCCATAGGGAGCTCCACCCAAGGCCCCAGTGGCAGAGTCCACATGCGTCTCCCCGCCCATTCCAGCACCGTATTCGCACGTTTCGTGGCCCCACAGGTCACAGGCCCTATTTCAATATGATCACAAAACGACAGAAGGCACACTTATTTCGATCACGTTCTTCCATGGCTTCCAACCCCCTTTGTTGGGTTCTCGTTTTGACTAGAGCACTTGGTCTGCAACCTTCTCCTCCTCCCATCCTCCCTGCTCCCTCCTCTATCCTCCTTCTCCCGTCTCTCCTTCCACCTGCTTGCGCTGCCTGGGTGGCTGAATGGAGCACTGCTTGCGCGATGATCCTTCCTCCCGCCACCATCTTCCTGTCTTGTGCCTCCTCGTCCTCCTCGTCATGCTCGTTCTGGATCGTCCCCTCGAGGGGCGCGAACTGCGCAAATGCGGGCGCCTACGGGGACCCAACCGAGACCCTCGGCCTTCTGGGTGTCTGCAGACTGCGCAATTGCCGCCATTTTCGCGGGCTCTTGGGAGGTCCAGCGGAGTGGATCTGTATGGGGACCCAGCCGAGATCTCGCGGCCCTCTGGGGGACTGCAAACTGCGCAATTGCCGCCACTTTCGTGGGCTCTTGGGAGGTCCAGCGGAGTGGAGTTGTACGGGGACCCAGCCGAGACCTCGCGGTTCCCTGGGTGGCTGCGAACTGCGCAGTTGTCGCCACTTTTGTGGCCTCCTGGGAGGTCCAGCAGAAAAAAATACGCTTCCAAGAAATGCCAATATTGTATGGTTCAGGGTTTCCAGAAACGGTTATATGCTATATGGTTGAGTCGTTCGCCCGGATAGTTGAACAAATGCCTTCTTACCCCTTCCATGTGCATCCTCCTGGCGGCGCAGAAGGGGCAGCCTGAATGGGCCAGGGGCCACGCCGCCTCTTAGAAGGCTGTTCAGGGGGCTGATCCCTTCGGAAACGACCCCCTGCTTCCTCGGGATGCCCCCCCGCCATCTCTCGCCCCCCGCCCCAGTCCCCCCTGCTCGCCCGCAGGTCTCCGTCCCCTTCTCCTCCATCACCCCTAAATCGATCCGCTGACATTTCCTGCGGCATGGCACGGGTCCCTTTGGTGACCCAGACGAGCTCCTTCCTCTGGCCATGGGCGGGCCTAGCATCTCGCAGACCCCCGCGGCAGGCCAGCTCCCTGTCGGACGTCGACGATGGCGAGCTTGGCGTTGGTCGGCGCCTTGCGACGGGCCTAGCCCTGCTCGGCCGCGACCGCGAAGTGGGCTAGGGGTGGCAGAGGGGGGGGGGGAAACGAGGGGAAAGGGAAGGACCAAGGCGCAAACTAGCAGGACGCCCGCAGGCCGACGGGCAAGGCCAGAAGCCACGGCTCAAATGCTGCCCACCAGGAGGCTGCGGCCAGCGCGACGACGCTGGCCAGGCAGTGCCTGGGAACTTCAAGGTCGCTGCGCTGTGTGGCTTCACCAGCGGGGACTTTGCGGGGTCGTGTTGAACGAGGAAAACAGCAGAGACCACGCCCCACCAAACCATCAACGACAGGGGAAACCACGGGGAGTAAGGAACTTGGGGTAGGATGGGCATGTCCATCTGGGGCCTGAGGGAAGTAACACGGATGAGTCCTGGATGAGTCATGGCCGTCCGTTTATGGAACGTCCCGGGAGGAAGAGAAGGAGGACCCAGCGTTCCGTGAAGTCTCCGCATCATCAAGCCATTGGGGAGCTTCGAGGGCCGAAAGGAGTGCTAAGCACTCGGGACGCCACCTCTTAGAGGGATCCCCTTCCGAGGATGGCGTCCAGCTCGAAGATTTTTAGGAGCTGTAGCCCGAAGCCTGCTAGTCTCCCAGGCGACGGGCCCATTGCAATGGGCCATCAGCACTGGGGATTGGCGACCAGATTCTGATAGACCGCAGTTGAAGCAGTTAAACGAAGGGCCCCTCGGCGACCTCGTGGTGGCCCCGGATGAACTCAAAGCTAGACTCGGCAACCCAAGGCGGGGGCCCCCGTGTACTCCTACCAGTACCAGGCCCATTGGGAGCCCCGCCTTGCCCGCTAGCCACAGTGGGCCCCCAGGGGGCCTGCGTGGGGGCCTCGGCCCCGAACGGACCAGCACAGGCGGTCGAAGGACCCGTGCCGCTCCCCCCAAGATTCCTCCCAGAAACGCCGTCGACATCCCCGACCTCGCCGACACGAGTCCACGGTATCGCACCGACAGACGGGCCGCCACCAGGAGCGCAGGCGAAGAACGCACCAGGGGCTGTCGCGGCCCCCCGCGTCGGGGAGCGGGACCTCCCCTCGCGCTCCGTGGAGGGCGCGGGAGTCCAGGGTCTCACAGCCTCGGGCCCAGGATGGCCAACCCGGGGCTGGCTTCCCTCGGGGCCGCGCTGCCGCTGGGGCCTTCGGTGGAACGCCCTATGGAGGTTGCGAAACGAGTCAGGGGTGTGCCGAAATTGGCGCGGCCGTGCCATGCAAGCGCTGCCACTGGGGCCTTCCGCGGAATTCCCTGTGGGGTCACGCAACGTGTGAGGGGTGTGCCGACATGGGCGCGGCGGTGCCATGCGAGCGCTGCCACTGGGGGCCTCTGGTGGAGCCCACCATGGGGCCACGAAGCGTGTGAGGGATATGCCGACGTTGGCGCGGCGGCGTCATGCGATCGCTGCTACTGGGGCCTTCGGTATAACTCTTTATGGGGCTACGAATCGCGAGGGGTGTGCCAGATGGGCGCGGCGGTGTCATTCGAGCGCTGCGACGGGGGCTTCTGGTGGAGCTCTTTATGGGGCCGCGAAACGTGTGAGGGGCGTGCCGAAACGATGACAACGAGTGTGAGTGCATGTGTCACGTGTGTATATGCGCCACTCGCTGCCGTTTGACCTCTAGGGGCCACTTTCTGTGCAATTGCGCTAAAACGCATCATACTCACACTGGTAGCGGAGCTACCACACGATCCCCGTATCGTACCAGTGCGCGCAATAATTGTAGCGGGTAGCTCGGCGTTGATTCTTACGTCCGCATGCTCAGCATGTCCAGGGATTGCCCAGGTACAAATCAGTGGGCTGGTCGCCGAGCCTTGCGGCACCACGCTGCATGTCGCCATGTCATTCCAAGCACAACAGCTGAGGAGCATAGCTAGCAGGTCATGGCCTAGTAGAACGCGTTGGCAGTCCCTCGGACGTGGCGCACTGCAGCAAGCTTAGCCTCCACGTCGCCAGCCGCAGGAGGCACGCCAGCCTGGGCCAAGAGGCCGTCGAGCTGTTCGGGGCCCAAGTCCTCGAGATTGCGCCTCGCCCCCTCGGCGTCGCCCTCCTCCGCGCCGGCGAGGACTGGGGCAACGGCGACGAGCGCGCCGCTTGCATCTGCGGGGCCGGGCGGCTCTCCTGCCGCCCCAGGGCCTGTAGCGGCGGCGGCCTCGCTGCCTCGGCCCGCGGCAGGGGCGGGGCTGGCGAGCCTGCGCTGCGCGGAGACGAATTGGCCCGGCTGCGACGCGACCCGCGGTACTAAGTCCGCGGCAGTGTCCGGGCCCATCCCGGGGCACTGTAGCAGCGCGCCTAGCTTGCCCACGTCGGCGCCGATGATCGGCGCCGTGAGGCTTGCGGCTGCGGGCGGGAGCACCCGCGTCGTCGCCAGCTGGTGCAGCTCCGCTGCGAGCTCCGCCTGCTTCTGCCCTCTGCTCGGCCAGCTTGGCCGCCGCCGCGTCGCGCTGCTCCGTGACGGCCTTGACCTGTCCCTCGAGCCGTTAGAGCGCGGCCTCTTGCTTGCTGATGGCCTGCCTGTGGCGCTTTGGGCGCTTTTGGCGCTCGACGACCTCCTACAAAGACGCGCTGGACGGCTTGGAGGCTAGCATCCGCGCCTTGAGCGAGGCAAGGGTGGCGCGGTTGGAGGCGAGCGCGCCCGCGTGCCAGATCTCGTCGACCTCGGACGTCATGGCCTCAATCTTCTGGAGGGTGGCCTCGACGCGCTCGATGCGCAGGTGGACCTCCCCGTCCGAGTGCTGGCCGAGGCCGTCGCCGACCAGGATTTCGTCGCCGTCGGCGTCGGGCGCAGCAGCGGGAGGCACAGGCCTCCAGGCGGCCGCAGCATTCTCGCGCTCGTCGTATCCTCGCGCTTGGCCTGCCTGAGCTTCGCCTTGACCTGCCAAAGCTCCGCCTCGAGCTGCTCCTTGGCGTCGCCGCGCCAGGGCGAGGAGCCGCCGCCGCGCAGAGGCACGCGCACGGACGGCGAGCTCGGGGCGACCTCGGCCTTGCAGCAAATGCCTTTGGTCCGCCCGCGCATCGCGCAACTGGCCGCCGTCGCGACGTTCCACCAGTCCCGGCCAGTGGTCCTGACCTTGGCAGAAGCGGCACAAGTACTTGGCCGCGCGCTCGGGCGCGCTCACCACGACGGCGCGAGGTCGCCATGCCGTCGGCGGCCTCGCCGTGGTGGGCTGCGAGCAGGCGCCGCGCCGCGTCCAAGCGAAGGAGGCGCCGCGCCTCGCTCTGCCTCCACCGCGCGCGCCTATGCCAGGCAGGGGAGCTGGCCCGCTCCCGAGGTGGAGTCGTTGGACCAGGGCCTTGGGCAGGGCGCCTGGCTGGGATCAAATGGGATGCCGCGCGCCGCCCCAGCGGGTGCACGAAGCCCAAATAACATCCCAGGAAGAGAAGGAGGTGGACCAGGAGGAGGAGGAGGAGGAGGAGGAGGAGGAGGAGGAGGAGGAGGAGGCGAGGTAGTAGGAGGAGGGCAAGCTATGTGCGTTCGCGCCATATGTGACATCCCATCCATTTCACCCATCCCTTCCGATTGCGCTGATTTTTCTCTATCAGCCAACGGGTGTCATAGCGTACCCAAGCGGAACCCAAAGAGGAATTGTGCACATTGGTGGTGGAAGAGGTGGCGAATGAGCAACAAGACGAGCCTGAGGATGAGGATGCGGATGCGGAAGGAGGAGGACGAGGAGGAGCTAACAGCACGACCAGGGGCTGGAAGGGGAAGAGCATGAGGATCAGAGGAAGGTGGACGAGAGGAAAAGAGCGGGGCGACACAGAATTGTGGCCCCCGCTGGGGCGAGGAGCAAACCGGAAGTCCTAAAATGAGGCCATCGCTGCAGCAGGAACACCAGTTTGACATTGAAAACGTTCCCATAGAGGCACACCAGCTTAACACCATATTCGTTGAAGCCAAAAACCGTATGCATCAGACAACAGGCCACGTTCTTACAGTATCTGGGGATAGGGGATCGATTGTAGCATACATTTTGGTTAATTGTGGAGGGTGAAAAGGCGGGAGCGGATGAGGAAGAAGTGGAGAGTGGAAGCAACAGAGCGGGAGGGGGGTGAGGGAGGTGACGACGACGGCGACGACGACGACGACGGCGACGGGGCGGGGGACAGCGGCTCTCCGGTGGGCGGGCGGGCGAGCGCGATGCCGAGTTCGCGAAACGGGTCGTCAAGAGGCAGCTGACCGTGGTGTACTCCGCGAAGGACGGACGCGCCTTCGAAGAGAAGGTGCTGCCTGTACCTTCCTCCCCATTCTCCCAACTCCTCTCCTGCCCCCCTCCCCTCCTCACCTCCCCCCTCCTGCCTCCCTTCCTAACCCACATTCCCTCCCCCCCCGCCTTCCCTCTCCTCCCCCCTCCTCCAGCCCCTCCCTGCCCATCCCACCCTCCTCGAGACAGTTTCCATTTTTTTATCAGCTGTGAAGCCTCTTTTGCACAGGGTTGTGAGTGGCTTGAGCCTCCGAAAGAAGCGGGAGCTACAGAGCGCGATGTCGACTTGCCATTTGTGCCAGCAGCGCTTGCATGCGCACGGGGCACCAGGGTCGCTATGACAGCAGAGCTTCAACTGCGTTGCGTTCCTCGCGGTGCCCGCCCTGGCTGCACGAATTGGCGAGGAGGGTGAATGCGTGGAGAGCGCAAGCAGGAGAGGCCATGGGATTCGTTCCCCCGCGCTGGTCTTTTCAAGCTGATTTACTGGCGAAGCCATCCTCCAGCAGGCAGGCTGTCAGGCATCTTGTTCACGGACGGCAGCGGCATGTGGCCAAGGCATTGCTTGGGACGAGTGGGCTGGGCGACGGCCCAGACAGACCGTGCTGGCAATGCTGTGGCGGGTGCTTATGGCCCGGTACCTTTTATGTGGGTGCCCAACCAGACTTCGCGGGACGGGGACAGCGATGCGATCGCAGTGGTTGCCACTGATTTCGTCGACCGTTGCATTAATTGCTAGGGCACGGTGGGCACCCTCGCTTTCGGGCGAGGCGGCGAGGCCGGGGAACGCTGACAGCCGATCCTCGATAGCACATGTAACATTCTTTCTAACGAGATTTCATTATTTAGGGTCTCGGTGTTATAAAGGTGCGTTCGGTAGCAGATGTTTGGAGCCTTGCGTACCTCCGCAATTCTGTCTTCAGAGTGCACCCTTTGAAACAAATCCTGAGCCCTTGAGGATGGGGTCAGGTTTTTTCCTTCGGACCCCCCAACAACCTTCAAGAAAGGTTTTTCGTTTTTTAACCTTCAACCCTGGACCCCTCTCCAAAAACAACCCTGGAGAGGACCCCCCGCAAAACACCCACTCAAGGGGGGAGCACTTGTTGGGGTTAGGGGGTGGTCCCCCCCAGAAATCACCAAACAGTTGGGTGGCCAGGGAGGGTTTCCCCCGAAACCCTCCCCAAACCTCCCTCAACCCAGAGGGTAATCGTTGCAGGAATTTGGAACAAGTCTTGAAACCATTGGGAACAAGCGCATGGGTGTCTTGTCGCTGTCAAAGCGTTGTCGCTGTCAAATCGCAGTTGACATGAAACAACGCACCAACAACAAACAACACGTACCAAAACAACAACATCATGAAACACATCTTGCACATTGCATTCATGCAGGTTTTTTGTTTTTTGGGGGGGGGGTAGACGCGCTTCCCCCTCGGGCCCCCCCCATCAAAGAGAGTTTTTGGGAGGGTTCGTTGTTTTCTTCCCCGGAATCCTTCTCAAAACCCTCCTCAAGGGGAGTTCCTGGAGGGGTTCGGGAGGGTTCTCCCCCGACCCCCCAAAAAACGAGGGTTACGACTTTTTCACCCCAATCCCCGCAAAATGACCTCCCTCAAGTTGGGTGTTTGCGGGTTCTTCCCCTCGCTCCTCGGCAACTCCCAGAAGGCCACTGAGGCCCCAAGACAGGCCACGTGCGTCAGATGGCCAAGTGGGGCCTCCAGGACGGCTCCAGTGCTCCCCAAGATGTCCGCCGCAGGGCCCCTACATGGACCCAACATGGCCCAAGGATCGCACAAGGCTGCCCATGGGTTCACGAAAAGTATTCCCATGAGGCAGTAGGCAAAACATGTTGACGTTAGTTGGGCTGTTTTGGATGGTTCTCGCCAACTCCACGCTTCGGTATTCGGAGCGTCCCATGGACCGCCCAAGACGGCTCCTCCCTATTCGCCCCTTCCTCGGGTCCGCCGCGGGCGGTCGTTGGGCATATAAACACAGGAGGAGCCTCTCCTCCCACTTCTCCCTCCCTTCTGCCTCTTCCCTCCTGTCTCTCGTGCCGTCCTTTTTGTGCCTTTCCTAGCCATCTGTACTCTGTTCGTTTTGCCTCTGTCCTCGTCTCGTCTCGCTTCAGTTTTGCCGCAGGGGGCGTTGCACACTGACATTATCGGGCAAGCTGCAGCAGCCGCGCGTCTGTGTCCTTGTCTCGCCCCGCCCATGGTCAGGTCCTGCGGGACATCCACAGCCTCGAGACACGCTTGAGAGCCGAGCTCGCAGACGTTTGCTCGATGAGGCGGGTTTGGGCTGTCGCTCGAGCCTTCTTGGGAACACGGCTCCACTGCCCCCTTTCGCCCCTCCCCTCTCCTTCCCTTCATCTCTCCTTCTCTGCCATCCTTCCTCTCTCTTCCTTCATGTTCTTATCTCCCTCATTCTTGACGCTTCGCTTGTCCCCACCATCCCCTGTGGGTGACAGTTGCCACGTGGGGTTCACGCCATGTCTACCGTCGCCTGAGTCAGTGGAGTTCTGCCTTCGAGCACGCGGTGCTCAGTGAGTGAGGCCCCCCCTTTTTCCTCATCCGTCTTCTGTCGCCCCTTCCCTCTCGCTCTGTGCCTCTGCCCTATTTTCTGCTCTTTTCCCTCCATTTGTCCTGCATGTGCACTAATTATCTGGCTCTGTGGCCCAGCTTGCCTGATTAACACGCCCTCGGGACTCTTCCTTGCGGGCCGCAGAACAAAAACGTATCCCCACCAGCGTCCGTACCCACTGGCTCAAGCCTGGCTCAAGCCGCTCTGGCTCGAGGTGCCGAGCCAACTTGCCGGGCCGCGGCCGGGGGCCTGCCCCTGGCCCTCGGCCCCCCCTCCTGCGGGAGCGCGGACGGGGCCTCCCCTCCGCGCTCCCGCCGCGCCCCGCCATGGTGTCGCCGTCGGCGCGGCGGCGGCGGCAGCGGCGCGAGGCTGCCTGCCGCGCCGCCGCCGCTGCCGCCCCGGCTCGCCTGTGGCCCGCCGGGCCTGCCGCTTGCGGCGGCCCCCTGGCCTGCCTGCAGCGGCTGCGCCGCCGGCGCTGCCGCCCCCGCGGCCGCCGGCGACGGAGCCGCCGCCTCGCCGCCGCCGCCGCGGCCGCGGGCGCGCGCGCCGCCGCCGCGGCCGCCGACGCCGCTGCCCCTTGCGCGGCCGCGGCCAAGGCAGCCTCTGCGGCCGCCCTGGCTGCCGGCCCGGGCGGCGCTGGGCGCCGCTGGCGTCGCGGGCGCCGCTGGCGCCGCCGCTGCCGGCGGCGCCGCGGGCGCCGCTGGCGCCGCTGGGGCTGCCTGCGCCGCCTGCGCCGCGCGCGCGCCGGCGCCCCCGCTGTCGGGGGCGCCGCTGGCGCCGCGAGCGCCGCGGGCGCCGCGGGCACCAGTGGAACCGCCGGCGCCGCGGGCACCGCAGGCGCCGCCGGCGCCCCCGCAGCTGGCGGCGCCGCGGCTGCTGGAGCGGCTGGAGCTGCTGGCGGCGCGGCCGGTGCCGCCGCGGCCGCGGCCGCCGCTGCTGGGGCTCCCCCCGCTGCGGCCGCCGCTCCCCCTCAGGCGGCCGCGGCGGCCGCCTGCTGCGCCGCCGCCGCCGCCGGCGAGGCCGTGGCCGCCGCGGGCCTCTGGGAGGCCGTGGCGGCCCTGTCCCGCGCCGCCGGCCTCGCCGCCGGGGCGGCCGGCTGCGGCGCCGCGGCCGCGGCGGCCACCGCCGCGGCCCTCGGCGGGCAGCCGCAGCAGCAGGGCAGCAGCAGCAGCAGCAGGGCTGCAGCAGCCGCAGCAGCCGCTGCAGCAGGGCAGCAGCAGCAGCAGCCGCAGCGGCAGGGCAGCAGCAGCAGCAACAGCCGCAGCAGCAGCAGCAGCAGCAACAGCGGCAGTAGCAGCAGCAGCAGCAGCAGCGGCAACAGCACCCCGCAGCGGCAGCAGCAGCGACACCCCCCTCAGGAAGCCGCGGAATATCCCACTCGGAGCAATCAGTCCGTCATTGGTTCTGACGAGCTGTTGTCGGACGTGCCGTGCATTTCCATGGAATATACCATCTCTTCCCCCCGCAAGGGGTCAGACCGTGAGCGCGGTGCTCCAGCCGCAGGGTCCACCCAGCCCCCAGGGGCCGAGAACGGGGCTCCCGTAGGGAACCAAGAGGCACCCTTGGACGAGGCATCTGGAGAGAGTCAACTCGTGTCCATGGAAGTGGACTGCGCTGGCCACCCACCAAGGGGACAGGCAACCATACCCCCCTTGCAGCGACGGGTGACTCACCTCGGAGTCCGCTAGGCGACGATGGAAGAGCGGGCTCCGAGCAGACAGCACTGTTCCAGAGGCCCGTCCTTCCCTCGCCCCCCTTCAATGCATCGGCGACTGCGGTTTTCGGCTGCGCCCCCCCAGCAGTGCCAGCAGGACAGAGGAAAAGGGGCGGGATGTCACGGCGGAGGCCGCGGAAGCCGCGGAATATCCCCTTCAGAGCAATCAGTGCGTCAGCAGTCCTCTGGGAGCGCCACGCACCCAGCAGGGAGACCGCGGAACAACCATCCAGACGCAGGACAGCGAAGCCATCCGCTGGCTCGTCGGGAGAAACCCCTTTGCGCCTATTCGCCCCCCTTCCCCTGTCAGCGAGCTCCTTATGGACGGCGAACCCCAGGCGCCCTCGCCAGGCGCCCAGGACGCCACTGGCAAAGCAGCTCGCGCCCCGGCTATGGGAGTTGCGCCGCAGAGCGCGCGCGCGCGCCCGGCACAACCAGTGGCGCCCCAGAGAACGGAGAGAGTCACGCGCTGTCCAAAGGGGACGCACCTGGGAGCGACAGCGGGCACAGGCCCGAAGGCGAACGCCAGCGAAAGGGACCCTTCCCCACGCGCCACAAGGCCGCGTCTGCCCTGGCCGCCGGACGCGCCCCAACCCCAGCCTGGCGGCCAACCGCGCGGCCTGCATTTCCCGGCAAAATCCTGCCAGGCGCGCGGCCGGAGATGTCGCGAGCAGATCGCGAGCCCCCCAGCCAGGACAACGAGGCTGGTACGTCGGAGACTTGCGGCCGGGATGCACGGCGGCACCAGGGGCCCGACCCGCGTCAATGGCCAGAGCCCATGGACCCCGACACGGGACAACAGCTGTGCAAAACAGGAATCAACAACGTCCAGTGGGACCTCCGCGGGGAGACACCCGGCGAGGCGATGCGACGACTCCAAGTCACGCCGGGACCAATGTCCAGTGGCACCTGGCACGCTTTCGCCAAGCGGCAGTCTGTGCCTGGCAGCAAGGGCGCGCTCGACCCGCTTCGGCGCGACCCGCAAACCTGCCACCTCTTCCTGGAAGCCTTCCGCAGCCACAAGTGCGACGTACGGGTCCTCAGCGAAGCGCTGGGCCTCGACGTCGACTGGGCTCGGCCGCGGCAGCTGCACCTGGGCCCGAGCGGCGGAGTGAGCAGTGGTCACAGCGCGGCAAAGGGCCACCCGAACAAACAGGCCCCCAGGAAGCACAGAAAACAGTGGTGGGCCGTCTCCCCAAAGTAGCCTTGCTATCCCCTCGTGGCATCCCTGCGAGTTGCTACCATGGTATGTGCCCCGACTTCTGTTTCGATCAGAACTTCTACTTCTTTATCTTGGCTGTTGTCTACGTGCTGCGTGTGTGTGGCTATGCCGTCGACCTCAGTTCTTTTCTCCTCTGTCTGCGCGCTGCGCGTGTGGCTATGCCGTGGACAGTTTAGTTTGGATTTATACTCTGAGATCCACCTTCTCTGTTGACTACGAGTTGTACACCGTGCCCATCAGCGCGATTGGGTGTCTCATACGTCCCCTCTTGGTTCTGACGGGCTGTTGTCGGACGTGCCGTGCTTCTCCTTCGGAGGAAACACGCTGTGAGGGTGCCGAATTGACTGGCCCCCCCGGCGCGGAAGACACGCGCATCCCGAGTACGTCGGAGGAAACACGTGCGAGGGTGACGAATTGATAGGCCCCCCCCCAGGAGCGGTCGCAATAGGCAGGCAAAAGAATTCTGGTATCCTTAACGCTTCGCGTATCCCCACCAGTCTCCTCCTTCTGGCCTTCTTTCACAAGTCTCTGCGGCTTTTGGCCGCGCCCCCCCGCGAAGTGCGTCGTCTCCGCTGAAGTGCTTCCGCCTTGGTCCGGGCCATGCGTGGTTGCCCAGAGCGCAGCGCTGGTGCCCAGCGGCATCTGGATGCACCCCCACGCACATTCACAAGTCTCTGCGGCTCTTGGCTGCGCCCCCCGCGTTGGGAAGAGGACGCCGTGATCTGGGTGCGGACAAAGTCGACCAACCCAGCAGGGCGTCACACTGACCTGCGGGCAGGCTTCTGGCAACAGTCTGCCCACCCCTGCCACGCACGCACCCGTCCTACGCAGGGACATCGTGGCCCCCATGCAGAGCGCGGTGCCGGGGCGCGACGTTAGCAGCGATAGATTGCCTCAAGATTCTCGTTCTATTCACAAGTCTCTGCGGCTCTTGGCTGCGCGCCCCATCCTGTTCGCCAAGATTGCGCCAACCTCTGCGAGTCTGGCAGCCGGGCACACCCCCCGCGCCCAGGGCTGTGGCGGCGCTCCCTTCTCCTCCTCCTCCTCTTCCCCCTCCTCCTCCTCCTCCTCCTCCCGCCCGTCATTCACAAGTATATGCGGCTTTTGGCTGCGCCCCCATGCGAAGTGTGTTATGGTCGAGGAAGTGATTCCGCCCTGGTTCGGGCCATGCGGAGATGCCCAGGGCGCAGCGCCTGTGCCCAGCGGCACCAGGATGCACCCCCATGGTCATTCACAAGTCTCTGCGGCTCTCGGCTGCGCCCCCTGCGTTGCGAAAGAACCTCGTGACCTGTGACCGGACAGCGTCGACCACCCCAGCGGGTCAGCACGGCGTAGATTGCGCCGAGTGGCACAGCCTTCCGCGGCCCATGCTCGTTCGCTCTTCTCGGCGCAGCCACGAGCATGGAGAGGGTATTTGCGACGAGGGGCTTGGAGTGATCTTCGGCTTCTACTGCGGCGCTGCGCAGTGTGGCTGCACGATGTTCCTCTGCGCCGACTGGAAGCATGTGCTGCCGGCGCCGACGACGGAGCCGACTGCCACGCCTGACCCGACTCCGACTGCGACGCCAACGCCGACGACGGAGCCTTTGACGACGCCTGATCCGACTCCGACTGCGACGCTTGCGCCGACGACAGAGCCGACTGCCTGATCTGACTCCGACTGCGACGCCAGCACCAGCGACGGAGCCGACTGCGACGCCTGATCCGGCTTCGACTGCGACGCCAGCGCCGACGACGGAGCCGACGGCGACGCCCAATCCGACTCCGACAT